CTCCACCTCATCTTTTGAGGCAGGGTCTCTCTCACTCCTGAAGCTGGAGCTCCCTGAGTAGACTAAGCTGCCTGGACAGCAAGGATCCTCCTGTCTCCCCCTCCCTGACACTGGGATTGCAGGCACCTGACATTCCTAGCTTCTGGCTCTTTTCCATGGGTTCTCAGGGACCGAACCGGGGTCTTCATACTTGCATGGCACGTACTTTACAGACTGAGCCATCTGTCCAGCCTGGATGGTCTTTCTCCTGCCAATGCCCCAGACTTTGAGTCATATTCTCCTCCAAACCCATTTACCACCCTGCGGGGTCCCTCCTTGGTGAGCAGGACGAGTCTTTGGCATACACTGTATTTGTGTGAATTACTCTGAGGAATGGGAGCTGAGCCTGTCCCCTGTCCAAGGCAGGTGGAAGCTAGCCTGAATGTGCAGGATGGGGAGTCACATGAGACTGCCTGGGGAGAGACAGCAAACAGGGACTGCTGTTCATGGATGCTTTCAGAAGAGGGAGCCAGAGAACGGGGCAGCTATCCGTAAAGGCCTCCAGAGCAATAAATCAGGGGCAGCCACTCATGGAGGCTTCCAGGAGAGGAAGCAAGGAAGTAGAGGCAGTTCAAAGAAGCTTCTGGAAGGGGAGGCAGGGACCTGTTTCAACCAGATTAGAGAGCTCAGCATGGGCACAGGTGCTTAAAGCTTGGGTGCCTTCAGGTAACAACAGCGATTTGGGGAATATGGCAACAAAGCCCAGGCAGAGAGCTGGTACCCATCTGGCATGGCAGGAGGGAAAGGTCAGGGATGGGTGACCGAGGATCACGCCCCAGCCATACTCCACCGTCCCAGCTGGTTGCTCGGAGCCCTGAAGTCCTAGGTTGAACTCGGCAGCATGGGAGAGCAGCACTGAAGCAGACACTGTGGGCAGGGTAGACAGCAGCTGGGGACAGCGGCAATGTGGGGGGCCGTGAAAGGGAAGCCCTTTGTCTTCTGTAGCCGTGTTTGATCCGAGGGGAGAAGTAAGTAGGGACCCTATCCTACCCTGCTGGCTTCGGCCCCTGTATCGAGAATCTTGCTCTTTGCTGTTGGATAACTGGCTCCTTGTGCTCAGTGAAAACGGCTCAGCTGAGCTGCCAGTGTCCCTGCCCTTCAGGTGGCCCGTCACGTCTCACCACCTCCCCTGTCAGCAGCTCAAGGGCTGCCACTTCTCTTCCCATCCTCTCGGTCACATGACAGCATGGCCCAGAGTCCCAGAGCCACCACCCCTCCGGCAGCATCCGTGGCCAGGCGCCATCTTACCATGTCTTACCAAACAGACCATTGCAGGGGTGGACAGAGAAGCCCCTAGCTGAGGGGCTGTGCATGAGCCAAGAAGGAAGACAGACAGTCAAACACTCTGGGCACCAAGGCAGAGGAGGCCCTAGAGGATGAAGGACCAGCCTTCGTTCAAGGAGAGTTTGCAAAAATGGGGCTGGAGGGCAGAGGCAGGCAGAGACAGGAGCTCAGTCACGCTCAGGCACCTCAGACACCAGTTAAACTCCTCACCATCTGCTGCCTCCTCAGCCACAGGGACCTGGGTGATCAAAGATAGCAGCCGCCCCTCTCTGCAGAGCCCGGGTGGCGTTAGTGGAGGCTAGACCAGCAGAGCCTGGGTGGCAGGGAAGGAGGCTAGACCTGCAGAGCCCGTGTGGCAGGGGAGGAGGCTAGACCTGTAGATCTTGGGGAGAGGAGGCTAGACCTGCAGAGCTACCGAGAGCCCGGTGGCTGAGAGCACTCTCTGGCCACAGCCTCGCAGGTCCCACCCCAGCCTCCAGCTCTTTCCCGCCCGGAGTCCCTGGCCAGCACCCCACCTTAAACTTTATGCTGCTTTAAGAGTGGAGGTGAAAGTCACAGACACTAACACCAGCGTTCTCGAGAGGACAGTCCCCAAGCGGCAGATTTGGGATGTACTTCTTCCAAGCCTCGGCGTGTGATCTCTAAGAGCCCCTGCTGCCTCCCGCCCCTCCCCCTCCCCACGCCACCCCCTTCCCGCTAAACACTGCTCCCCACACCCAGATCCCCAGGTTTCACATGGGGTACTCCTCCACTGTGTGGACCCCCAGCAGCGTGTCTGAAGTCTGTGCACACAGAAGCCAGTGCCCAGGCCCTGAGCCTCTTCATGGTGAAGCAGTGCTCCCCTGGCCACGTGTGCCTCCTTTCCACCTGTGGGCTGCAGTGGGCAGAGCGCTGTGAACTGCGGTTCTCAAGTGCCTGGGGGTACAGGCAGGTGAGAACAGGTACATGCAGGTGTGTGGAGGCACAGGTGTGCAGATGCTTACAGGTGTGTGGAGGCACGCGCAGGTGTCCAGATGCGTGCAGGTGTGTGCCGTTGTACATGTGTGGTTGCATGCACACCTACACAGGCGCACACGGGTGTGACTGTACGTGCACACACACGTGCAGACAGTCACTTTCAGGGGCCAGTGTCCACACAGGGGCAGGCGCACAGGGCTCTGCACAGTTCCGTGCTTCCGCGTGGACTGCCGAGGCTCAGGCTGCCTCTGCTTGTCTCCGGGCTGCCTGTGAGTGCCCGAGCTCGCTCCTCCTCCCCTCCTCCCCTGCCTCCATCCTGCAGCTCACCAAGGTCCCTGGGGCTTCTCGGTGCCCCCCGCCTGGCATCCTGCCAACTCAGTCTCCTCGTGAACATGGTGAGCAGGGCCTGGCCTGTTGTTTGGGCCACTTACAGAACAGTGAAGGCCAGCACAGGGCTGATCCTGGCTGAGCTGGCTCCCAGCCTGCCCCCCCCCCCCGTTTGTGTGCCATGAGCCCAGGGTCTCACAGCCACGAGCGCCACAGAAGTCACTCAGACGGCTCACAGCAGCCACAGGCTGGAGCGCACTGCAATGTCCCCTGAGGGTCCATCCGGGCCCACCCAGGGTAACCTCAGCGGGGTACACTGTGTTGGCCTGGCTCAGGCAGAGCAAGTGACTGGGGTCAGGTCAGAGGTCACAGGAAGTGTGAGTGTACAGATGCCAGCTGAGAAAGCCACGGGACATGTTCCCAGAAGGAGAGGGGGTTGCCGGGGAGGCCTGGCCACATCCCAGCGGGGCCTCACAGGCTGGCTTGAAAGGAACAGGGTCTACACAGAGGGATGCTCCTCAGACCAGCTCTCCTCCGAGGTGTGTGTGTGTGTGTGTGTGTGTGTGTGTGTGTGTGTGTGTATGCATGTGTGCTCACCTGTATGTGTACTCATCTGAGCGTGTGAGCATGCGCTCATGTGCATATGTGTTCGTGTGTGTGTGTGCACGTAAGTGTGCGTGTACATGTATTCAGCTGTATCTGTATACATGAGTGTGTGTGTGTGTTTGTGCATGTTTGTGTATACCTGAGTGTGCATGCCCTTGAACTTATCCGTGTGAGCCTATGTCTGAGTGTTCATGTCCATGTGTTTGTATACATATGAGTGTGCGTGTGTACACATCTGAGGACACGCCTCTGTGTTCACCTATGTGAATATATAATCTGAGTGTGTATATGATTGTGTGTGTGTATGAGAGAGAGAGACAGAGAGCAGAGGCAGCCTCAGGTGTCACTTTTCAGGGCACAGTCCCTGGCTCGCTGACTGACTGGCCAGAGAGCTCCAAGAATCTGTCTGTCTCCCTCTCCCAAGCTCCAGAGTTATTCGTGTGTGCCAGCATGCCTGGCCTGAAAATGTGTGTGTGTGTGTGTGTGTGTGTGTGTGTGTGTGTGTGTGTGTGT